TCTCTCTCTCAAAAATAAACAAACGTTAAAAAAAAATTTTTTTTTAAATACAAAAATAAACATTTAAAAAACTTTTAATACATGTCTGAGAATTTTCATAATGCAGATTTCTCATATTTGTAGATTTATGTTGAAATTGAGCGTGCTCGACTGACTAAAACATTAGCAACCATAAAAGAACAAAATGGTGATGTGAAAGAGGCAGCCTCCATTTTACAAGAGTTACAGGTAAGGAGTTGTATTTAGAATGTGAAAATCCTGATATTTGGTCGGCAGTGTTTCTTGTAGACAGAGCTTATTTTGGCACCTGGTCACTTCTTCAAAACTACCAAGGTTGAGGGTGAGGGCAGTGGAGGGTGGGGTTATTCAAGTACCTGAGAATTATGTCATTATGGTCCCAACTAAACTGCTAAAAAAAGTTGTGAAGAAAAGTTAGAAGCAATGAATCAGTCTTGATGTGTGCTATTATTTTAACATTTTCATCCTCTTTAGAACTTAAATCAGTAATTCACGTACTGTTTACTGATGCGTTAGGGATTTGCTGTTAATCATCAGCTTCGTTTTAAATGAATACTTGATTGTTGGTCAATTTCTAGACTAAATTGGTTTAACAAAGACAAATTGCATCATAATTTGCTATGTTTCAGGACAGATTTTTAGGAGAGATCTTAAAATGAGATAGCAAAGAGCTAAGAAATCTGAGAAAAGCCATAGACTCCCTAATAAAAAAATGTACCTGAACTACACTCAAAATTTTGTTTATAATTTTGGCCCATCAAGGTTTCCCCAGTAAGTTAAATTGCTTATTCTGATTTTTCAGTCATGTGCCATTTTAGCCAAAGGAGGGGAACCATAATACTGAGAGGATCTCGTGTGCCCTGCGTTGTCTGTGTTCCTTTTTTTTAAAGCATGTCTTGGGGCGCCTGGTTGGCGCAGTCGGTTAAGCGTCCGACTTCAGCCAGGTCACGATCTCGCGTTCTGTGAGTTCGAGCCCCGCGTCGGGCTCTGGGCTGATAGCTCAGAGCCTGGAGCCTGTTTCCGATTCTGTGTCTCCCTCTCTCTCTGCACCTCCCCCGTTCATGCTCTGTCTCTCTCTGTCCCAAAAATAAATAAACGTTGAAAAAAAAAAAAAAATTTAAAGCATGTCTTGAGTTCTCTATACACTTTATCTTATTTAATGTTCACACACGACACTATTTCTATCCCCATTTTTCTGCCAAGGAAACTGAAATTTAAAAGGATTAAGTAATGTGCCTAAAGTCATTGCCAAGAATCGGTAGAGTTCAGATTCATACTAGTTCTGTTTGACTTCAAACTTCTTTTCTTCTTTTTAATTAAAAGACTGTATTTTTTGGAGCAGTTTTAGGTTCACAACAAAGCTGAGTGGCAAGTACAGAGAGTTCCCATCTAGCCCCCGATGCACCATCCCCCCCACACCCACACATACACACGCACCACTTCCCCTCCTGCCAGCATCTCGAACCAGAGTGGTTCGTTAGTTACGGTTGATGAACCTGTGTCAACACATGATCACCCAAAGTCTATAGTTTGCTTTAAGGTTCACTCTTGATGTTGTACATTCTGTGGATTTTGACAAATGTCTAATGACGTGTGTTTATCAGTGTAGTACCATGCAGAATAGTTCCCTGCCCTAAAAATTCTCTACGCTCTAACTATTCCTCCCTCTCTCCACTCCCCCACCCCCTGGCAACCACTGAGCTTTCTACCATCTCCATAGTTTTGTCTTTCAACCAGGAGGATTATGTGCCCCACGATTTAACATCCTCTGAAATATTCTTGCCAGAAAAAATCACCTCAATTATATAAAGCTTCTAGGTTTAACTACCAGTTTACAAGATACACTGGGGACAGAGGAGCTTATTAAATGATACCACAGGGATGCAATCAGTGTAATTTAGACTCCAGGAAACTGTAGGATGATTGGCTTGATTTTGTCAATAAATAAATGGCAAGGCTAAAAGAAACTTACCTACCACTTGCAAAGTATAAGCCTTATTTGGATTCTGATTTAATTAAATGAGATATTGAGGACTGACTAGATATTTAGTGATCTAAGAAATTGTTAGGTATGATCACTTTTTTTTCAGCTTCTCTTTTAGAAATACATACTGAAATAAATAAGATGTTACCTGAAATTTGCTTCAAAATACTTGACACATGCAGAGTGAGTGAACATACATAGATGGAACATCGATGGTTTCATTCCTTAGGGATTTGCATACATACATTCATCAGTGTATACGTTTTTATTTTCTTTAGTAAAAAAATTACAAAGACCATGAAATAAAAACCTTTTCAGACCTAGTAATAATAGCCTTACTTCATTTTACTTTGTTATTCTACATTTTATAAATTCATTTGCAATATGTGTGTACCAAGTATTAAAAATGTTTTTATAGTATTTGACGTAACTGATTTTCTATGTTGTATCTGTTGCATATTGACTGTAACTGTACATCCTGCATCCGTTTGGAGTCATGTCAGCCTTGTCATCCGAATTATAAAAAGGCTAGAACCTCTTTTTTTCCTTAATTTTTTTATTATATAAATAGCCTGCAAGTGGCATCGTATTTTGGGTTCAGAATTGTAACTTCCTCACTAGCCATGAGGAAAACGCAAATTAAAACCACAGTGAGATATCCCTACACGCGTATTAGAACAGCTCAGAAAAAAAAAATACAATACCAAGCGCTGGCAGGGATGCGAAGTGATGAGAACTCTCACCCGTTGCTGATGGGAATGAGAAATGGTGCAGTCACTCTGGGAAACAGTTTGGCAGTTTCCTTCTTTTTCTTTTTTTTTTTTTCCTGGCATCTGCTGAGCCATTGGCATTATCGGCACTGGCCACAGTGCCATCCACAGACCATCGTGAGAAAGGGCCATCGTCTGCAGTTTGGCAGTTTCTTATGAAGCTGAACGTATGCTTGCCAGACGACCGAGCAGTCTCGCTTCTTGTGCCCAAGAGAAATGAAAACTTAAGTTCACACTCAACCTGTCCACTGGTGTTCAGAGTAGCCTTGTTAGTGATGGGCACAGGTTGGAAACGGCCCAGCTGTCCTTCAGCCGGGGAGTGGATAAACTGGTTCCTCCACACAGTGGAACACTTCATGGCCGTAAAAAGGAATGGACCTGTTGTTTCAGAATCATTGGCTGTCGAGGGTTCAAAGTGGGGGAACTACGTGACTGTAAAGGGGTAGCACAAGGGAGTATTTGGGGCTGAAAGAACTGTTCTGTATCTTGATTGTGATGGCGGTTAAACTACATAGGTTAACTACGTAGTTCTATTGTTAACTACATAGGTGAAAATTCACAGAACTTTTTATACCAGAAGAAAAAATAGCCATTTACTATATATTTTTTAAAATTGTAATTTCCTGGAGGAAACCAGCTTTTTAGATCATCATCAGTACTCTGTCGGTGTGCGAGAAGTTTCTTGTTATTGGACAGGCGTGAATGTTTTAATACATTTAACTTTGCAGTTTTTAAAAATTAACAAATATAAACTTATTTGGGGACTTCGCTAGGTGGAAACCTACGGATCAATGGAAAAGAAAGAGCGAGTGGAGTTTATTTTGGAGCAGATGAGGCTCTGTCTAGCTGTGAAGGATTACATTCGTACACAAATCATCAGCAAGAAAATTAACACCAAATTTTTCCAGGAAGAAAATACAGAGGTAAGCATGTCTCTTAACTACAAGTTTACTATAGGAGTATTTGGGGGGAAAAACCATAAGCCCCAATTTATTTTATCAACTTTTTTTTTTTCCAGAAATTAAAGTTGAAATATTATAACTTAATGATTCAGCTGGATCAACATGAGGGGTCCTATTTGTCTATTTGTAAGCACTACAGAGCAATATATGATACTCCCTGTATACAGGCAGAAAGTGAAAAGTGGCAACAGGTAAGAATATATTCTTATACTGGACGTCGATACTTATTAGGAAGAATTTGCATTTTTTATTTTAAAATAAGTTTAATTTCAGTAATCATAAGCAGTTGTATGGTGCTGCTTTCTATTCAGTGTGTTGACAATTCAGTTTATCTTTACTGATTCAAACAAATTGTGGCGATACTCTAAGTTCTTTGTCACTTTTGAAGAGTGTAGGTTTGCTATTTAAACTGTGTATAGCGGCACCTGGATGGCTCAGTCGGTAGAGCATGCAACTCTTGATCCTTGAGGTTGTGAGCTCAAGCCCCATGTTGGGTATAGAGATTACTTAAAATACGGGGCACCTGGGTGGCTCAAATCAGTTCAGCATTCGACTTCGGCTTAGGTCATGATCTCAAGACTCATGGGTTCGAGCATTCAATTTCGGCTCAGGTCATGATCTTGAGGCTTGTGGGTTGGAGCCCCGTGTCGGGTTCGGTGCCAACGGCACAGAGCCTGGAGCCTCTTTGAGTTCTGTGTCTCCCTCTCTCTCTCACCCTCCCCTGTTCATACTCTTTCTCTCTCTCAAAAATAAATATTTTTAAAAGTTAAAAATAATAAAATAAATGAAAGTAAATATGTATAGCAGGTCACTTGCTAATAAGGTTACAAGCAAAGACCTGGCATTACTTTGGAAAATTATTTCACAGTACTGTTTCAGATAGTTGATAGGTATATTCCACATTTGTGCTGCTAACTTGTTATAAGAACTTTTTCTTTATACATTTGTCACCGAAAAAGGTGTCAGCCCAGAGAGTAATTCAGATTAGCGAGGATTTACATAATTGCTCCAGAAAAATTTATGACAGAAAGCCACTGTGTAAAGATCAGCTTGATAGGGTGTTTATTCCCTAAGACTTGAGTACGATATCAAACATGAATATAGACAATTCTCTTGTGATTTTTTTAGTTCCTGCCAAAGTTTCCATTTTGTTTCTAAGTTTACATATAATCCATTGTGTTATAAAACATTTGTAGGCTCTGAAAAGTGTTGTCCTCTATGTGATCTTGGCTCCTTTTGACAATGAACAGTCAGATTTGGTTCACCGAATAAGTGGCGACAAGAAGTTAGAAGAAATTCCTAAATACAAGTAAGTACATTTATAGCTAAAGTAGCAGAAAACACCATCATGAAAGAAAATTGGTTAATCTAAGTGTGCACCTTCTTACTTGGTTGCTGATAGATTGTATTGGCGAACAAAGCTAGAGTTCATAAAATAGCGAAATGTGTTTTCGCGCTGTATTCGAAATTACACTCTTCGTTCTAAACCACTTATCAAGTAGAAGTTGCATTTCAAGCTCACTTTAGCAGCTTTTGGTTAATTAACCATTTGATAAAGTTTTAGTAATTTGGGGCTTCGTGATTTTCAGAAGTACATACTATATGAAACAGACACACGCTTCATAAGCACAGTGGGCTTTTATTTAAAAGCTGTTTTTTTTCTTTTATCTGCCTCATTAGTAAGTTTACATTAATTATTCCAGAGATTGGCAAATACGTTGCAATAGGGGATAGAACGTTAAGTAGGGGAATGCTCCGTTCGGAATTACTATGGAAAAAATGATAGTAAAGTAGGCAAAATAAATAATAATCAGGGGCTCCTGGCTGGCTCAGTCGGAAGAGTGTGCGACTCTTGATCTCAGGGTCCTAACTTTGAGTCCCCATTGAGTGTAGAGATTTTATAAGTACAGTCTTTGACAGTTTTTAAACATTTGCTGTTATATTAGATAAAACAATTTTTACAGATTGGGAATATTAAGTTTTATACAATTTACAGGGATCTTTTAAAGCTTTTTACCACAATGGAGCTGATGCGCTGGTCCACGCTTGTTGAAGACTATGGACTGGAATTAAGGAAAGGGTCTCCCGAGAGTCCGGCAACTGATGTGTTTGGTTCTACGGAGGAAGGTGAAAGAAGGTGGAAAGACCTGAAGAACAGAGTCGTTGAACATGTAAGAATCTGGCATGTTGGATGGGGCACCTGGCTCAGTCAGAAGAGTGTGCGACTCTTGATCTCGGGGTCATGCGTTCGAGCCCCATGTTGGGCATAGAGATGGCCGAAAAAAATAAATAGTGAAGAAAAAAAAAGGCATGACAGAGTTGCCAACCTGGAAGTAAAGTTGAGCATAAACTTTGATTTTTAAGTTTGATAGTCCAGTGTTTCTTTGGAGGTTATGTCTTTAGTTCTTTGCTTTAGGATTTTTTGGAGGTAGGGAGGCTATTCCCAATGTAGTAGAGATGTAAATTTGTTATTTAAATGTTTATTGTATATTTTCCCAAAGCACATCAGAATTTATCACCTCCCTCTTACTCCCTCTTCCCCCCACCACCACATTCCCCCATTTTTGGCTTCTCAGAAAACGATGTTTTAGCATGCTTATTTTGTGGGGACCTCTCGAGAATCCAAAATTTTACAGCATATAAACCAGCAGGAATTTCTTAAGAATGTGGGGGGTAGTTGTGGGTGAAAGGAGTGTTTTCCGTCTGATACTCGCTTGGTGGTTTGGAGAATGGGTAACATGTCTTAAACCTGACCTTTGATCTTGGTGTCACTACAAATTGAATTAGCTCAGCATTCATTCATATAACATCCTATTGAGCCTTCTGTGTGCCAGACACTGTTCAAAGTGCTGAGGCATGTGGGAAAGGAAGACTTGGGCCCTGCTTTCAGAAAGCTTAAAAAGAAATCATAGGAAAGATGCATTTATAAATAAAAGCGTTACAGGGGCACCCGGGTGGCTCAGTTGGTAAAGTGTTCGACCCTTGATTTCGGCTCAGGTCATGTCCTTGCAGTTTGTGAGTTCACCCGGCATGGGGCTCTTTGCAGACAGCGTGGAGCCTGCTTGGGATTCTCTCTCTCTCCCTCTGCCCCTCCCCCGTTTGTGGACGTGCACACGCTCTTGCTTTCTCTCAGAATACAAATAAATAAACTTTAAAAAAATGTTACAGATATTAGGGTACAAGTATATATCGAATGGAGTAGAGCATGAGGAGAAAGTTGATTGGTTCTGCCTGAAAGAACGGTCAGGCAAGAGCCGCGGTTAATTGACACAGGAGGGAAGATTCATAAGAAGAGAACCAGGTTAGCGTGCAGGTGGGATAGTCTGAGCAAAGGCATGGAGACACCGACCAGCAGGGGAACCTTAGGGCCTCTAAGAACAGGGCTCAGCCAGGAAGGAAGTCGGAGATACGGTAAGGGTCTGGAACATAACAAGGTGTATATACTCCAGTCGTGGAAACCGAGAGGACGGTGGCCAGGCCCATATCTGACACAGAGCCCTCTAGCAGTAAGCGTGGAGAATGTGTTTGGAGAGAGACCACAATGGAACTGAGAAGACGAAGCGAGGGCTCCTGTGGGCTCCAGCCAAAGCAGTAGCTGAGGATAGAAGAATGGATGAGGTGGAAATATTTTAAGAAAGAAAATCAATCGAATTTGGTCACTGATTAAATTGAAAGTTATGAAGGAAGAGGGGTCCAGAATGATTCCCCTGCTTCCTAAGAAGCTGGTGTGGCCCTGGACCCTAACAGAGACAGGAGAAGACACGGCTTCTTCAAAGATCCATTCATTTTTCTTCCCACTGTTCCCCATTTCCCCTGTGAATGCTGTTGTTTTGTTAATAACATAATAATAAAGGGAAGTCTCTAACTTGAGCACCATTTCCAGTGAAAATTGGGACATTTAATTTCAAGTTACCTTTCAACAGTTATGATAATGTGGTGTTTTGAGATACTCGATCACTTTTTTAATCTGAGCCATTTAAACATCTGTGTCATAATTAGGAAAGTTTAACTTTAGATTCTTGCATTTAGCAAAAATAGTTTAGTATCGTTATAGTTTTTAACCATTGTTTTAGTTAAGATAAGCCTAGGTTTTGACCACATATATGTATTTTTAATAGATTTCTATTTTTTTTTTTTATTTTAGAGAGTGAGTGAGCACATGCATGAGCAGGGGAGAGGTTCAGAGAGAGAAAGAGCATCTCAAGAAGGCTCCACACAGCACAGAGCCCAATGCGGGGCTTGATCCCACGACCCTGGCATCATGACCTGAGCTGAAATCATGAGTCAGATGTTCAACTGACTGAGCCACCCAGGCAGCCCTTGACTATATATATTTAAAGAGAGTTGGAGAGAGTAGGGGCGACTGGTGGCTCAGTCGCTTAAGCATCTGACTCTTGATTTTGGCTCAGGTCATGCATGGTCTCACGGTTTCATGAGTTTGATCCCCGCATCAGGCCCTGCACTGACAGTGTGAAGGCTGCTGGGGATTTTCCCTCTCTCTCTGTGCCTCCATGTTTATGCTATCTCTGTCTCTCTCTAAATAAATAAATAGATAAATAAGCTTTAAAAAAGTTGTCGAGAGTATTCAGAATAACTTCCAAATAACTACAGAAGTCAAAATACCTAAATTTTTTACTTTGTTGTTGAACTTTAGAACCGTGGTGGGCTATAGAGAACCAAAAGCTCTGAATCCGACATTTTAACTAAACCTGTCTGGAAATGAAAACAAATGGGCTGTTAGCTTTATCGACAACCGTTACCTGTCCTTCATATGCCCTCTGTTCTCTCCCCAGAATATTAGAATAATGGCCAAGTATTACACGAGGATAACAATGACAAGGATGGCCCAGCTTCTCGATCTGTCTGTTGATGTAAGTGGTAAATGTTGCATGAGCTGTTTGTAGCCAGTCATTTTGAATATCAGCTGACTTACAAAAATCAAATGAGAAAATCAGTTTTGTTTCATTATTTAGTTTTAAGCTTAGGTGGCAGAAGGTTTCTCCAGGCTATCTTGAGGATCAAAAAATAGCCTAAACACCAAGTTTATAATTACATTAATATTATGTCCTAGTTAAAATCTTCTCTTAAATATGGCAGTTTTAGATTGATTCGTTTGCCTGGGGTTTATATTTCTGTCATAAATATGTCTGGGTTCCCAGAAATAACCATAGAGATGTAAACTGTGACGGAGACTTTGCTGCAGCCCCCCTGCCGAGGGCCCAGGTCATATTAGAAGAATGTTACGTTCAGGCCTGAGTTCCTGTTGCTGGAATGTTCACCCATCACAGAGTGAAGTGATGTGAGCTAAAAGCCATTTCTGTCATCGCATAGCGTTTTCCAGTTTAGCTAAAAAAGAGGAATCACGGATGTTAGAGGTCAAAGGCTTGATCGTTGGTTGGCTCATCAGCTCCTCACATTTCTGGACCACGAGGACCAGAGTCCTTAGAAGTAAAGTGCCTTGTCCTTAGTTACATAGCTGCCAAGTGACAGGGCATATATAGTGACCCACTGTTTCTGGAAACAAATTAACTGCATAATGTGCTGGGGGGTGACCATTGTAGACCAAGAGCAGACATTTCCTAGACTCGCAGTAAAATAAATACGTTATTATAGGAAGCCTGCTTTGGATTCTGTGTCTCCCTCTGTCTCTGCCCCTCCCCCGCTCACATTCTGTCTCTCTCAAAAATAAACATTTTTTTTAAAAAAGACAAAATGCTTTCCTTAAATTTTTCCTTAAATTATTTTCTGTAATTA